ATTATAATTATAACAAGGCGCCACTAATATTTTTATCTGATGTTTCATATTGGAGAAATATTAACCATCCTATTTTAAAAATTTTAAAAGCGCATTTGCCAAAATTTTCAGATGCTCCTGTCGAATTATTTCACAGCCTTTTGCAATGAACTACTCAAAAGCATAATGGTATGGATCACTTACAACGTCAAGCACATTTTATTAATTTTTTAAAATGTGAAAAACATCTCAAAGAGTTATTTAAGCATCAATCTATGTGGAAAAAATATCTTTTGAATCACAGAGATTTAAATAGCTGTATACAAAAAGCAGCATGTTTTTTATTAGAGCGGTTTATTAACATTTACAATCGAATTGCTACAGACAGCGTAATGGATTTAATTTCAGGCAGACCAGAAATATTAACCCAAGAAAAAAAAAAAAGAAAAATCGTCAATGGTCCCAATATATCTATACCAGCTATTGGAATTATTGCGAATACTTGTCACCTTCCTTTGGGTTTTAGTACTTTGCAAAAATCTAACCAATCTATCTTGTGTGATTATTCATTATGTACTAAAGCAGATATTCATGTATTTACTAATCTCTTATCTCCTAATTTAAAAATACTAGCTTGCGATCACAAATATCATGTGGAATATTTAAACGAAGTTGGCCAGAAATGTTTACCCTGTTTGCAATTTTTACAGGATGGAATAAAGACAAATGCAGATCAATTACTGGAACGTCTGTTGGATTTGAACGATAAAAAAAAAAAGAATAAAAAGAAAACAGAAAATATTCGGGTTCAAGGTGGAATAGAAGAATTTGAAACAAAAGAACTCAAAAATGAAATAGTCGAAGACGATGAACTTATCGTCTCTCATGGTATTGGAAAAACAGAACTTGATGATTTATTGCAAAAACTTAAAGGGTTACAATAAATATTTTTTTTTGTTTTTTTAAAAATTTTAAATAAAAAATTTATTAATTAAATTAAAAACAAAAAATTTTAAATAAAAAATAAATAATAAAAAAATTAAATTATTAAAAATAAAATTTAAATAAAATTTTTAAATAAAAAATTTAATCGTTTTATCGTAATCGTTAAATTATTTGAATTTACGATTTATATCATCTGACCAATCATAGCGAATTATTTTAATTTCACTGATCGACCAATCACGAGAAAGTTATCCTATATGTAAAAACCAGATTAGTTTTGTGTGACAAGAGTGCGTCATTGTAATACGTATGTACCGATATTTTTTTTTTTTTTTTTTTTTTTTGGACATTACTTATGCTAGTATTTTTTTTTTTTTCTCTTTTTTTCCTTTATCAATCCGTTAGTTAAAGATGGTGGTGGTATGTAATAAATAATATTCGAATCCGATTTATTTATTAAATGAGTGGATCAATTTATAATATTTTTTTTCTACCATGATAAGGCTAAAGAAGACAATTCACAACAGCCCCGTAAAGTTGAGCCAGACGAAGTTCAAAGCCTTTCGACCAACGATAATATCATTCATCAGTCCAAATCAACTTCTGATGAAAAAAAAGATGAGTAAGTTCTATAATGATGCTGCGATTTTCATTTATTAAACATCATTTAATAATACACCATTGAATTTAATCATTAAAAGGGAGCCTGTCGAGGTGGACGAGTTTGGTCGTATGTTGCGCCGTAATGGTCGTCAGCGAAATGATGACTTAGATAATAGCGATCACAGCGACTATGAGCGTCACAGATCTGAATATCGAAGATACAGTAGTAGCAGTCGTTCTTCACGGTATCGACCTTCTGACGATTACTACGAGTCTCGATCAAGCAATTATCACTATAGGAAACTGCAATACGACAGCTATGTCCCAAGACGTTCAAGCTATTTTAGACATTCAGATAGCGATCGAGAAGACTACTATCGCAGTGATGACGATAGGCATAGAGATCGAAAACGTATTAGAACATGGTCACGTAGATCATCGGATAGTGAAGACGATAATGATAGAAGGCCTAGTGGTCGAAGGCGTTCTCATTCTCGAGATAGGAGCATTGGCCCTGAGGGGAGGAAATGGTCACAATCCGTACAAGAAGATGTAACTTCTCATGTTTCTTATATATAATCTTTTTTTTTTTAAAGTACTTATTCGGTTGTGTATAATTTGGTTAGCCATTCTCAACAGCAAGTAAATATATTGACACCGAATTCTATACCAGAAAGATATATGTTGGTGAACTTCGAGATGTTTCTGAGCGTGCACTGCATAACGCTTTTGAGAGATTCGGTGACATTGAAAGTATTGATATGCTACCAGAAAAAGGGTGATTAGTAGTTCTTTTACTGGCATATTATTGATATATTATTATTACAACCATTATTGAAAATACGCTATCCTCTTTTATAGAATCGCATTTATTGATTTTGACACTGAAGAAAATGCCAATGAAGCTCGCCGCAGAATGAATAATACTTTACTCGGTTCAGGTTATGTACAAGGTGTATATAAATGTTAAATATAATTAATCAAATGAATAACGGTCATTTGAATCACTAATGATATTTAACTATACTCATAAAGTGAATAGAGCGAAACGACCTGAACGAAATAAGAATGGCTTTGGCAATGTACCATGGAGTGATGCAGGTTAGAAATTTATCAACTGCTTGCTTAAGCTTTTTAACAAAATGGTTACCAAATTTAAAGTCATCATTTTAGATGGTGCTGAGGCCAGACTAAATGAAACAAAGCCGATTACATATATGTTTAATACCACTTCCCCGTTTTCAGCTCAAACAGGTAGTAAGTTTAATTTTAATATCTATTTTGTTGCTTTTGCCTAATCATTATTTCAAATAGTATTCCCAGCTACACCTGCGCCACCACCACAGGCTTTTGATCCACGATTACATGGACACAAACGAAAAATAATAGCCTATGATGATCTCTAGGATTCTTATAATTATGTGTAAAGGTTTGTGACATCATGATAAACTGTAGAAATGTATACATTTATGATAAAGGATTGAAATTTGTTAGCAGCTACTCAAGATAGAATTAAATTGAAATAATATGTGTGTTGTTTTTTAACTTATAGATTGTTACTAAGTCACGATTGTTTTTATAGCATGATAAAATAATAAATATTATAAACATTTAATACATAACTAAAGATGTAATTATTTAAGGATACTAAATCAAAATTGGAACCTAACATTGTTTAGCAAAGGCCAAATTGATAGGTTATACACTAAAATTTTGCGAACATTTTTTTTTTGTTAGAACACGAAATGCGGTTTCATAGAATAATGCGCATTTATACACTATTTCTGATCTTCGTCTGACCTCGTAATTTTGTTGCCGACGGAAAAGAAGCAGGTGCACTATTTTAAAAAAATCTTTGCCTTTTTATTTTATATATATTTAAGAATAAATATATTTTTATTATTTATTTGTTGTTTAAGGTGATCTTTTTGGGGTTGGACTTTTGTTAGATTATAGAATGATTATATAGCATTTATCTACACTTTTTTTTTTACATTACTAGGTTACAGGATTTATTAGGGCTAATCCAAGGCTAGATTTATGATTTTGTGCTTTTAGCTTTTTTGTTTTGTTAGAGTTTACAGTTAACTCTAAAACAGATTTATCTAAGTAGTTTTAACTATTTTATAGGTTATTTAGTTTAAAATTTTGAAGTTTGTATTTTTTTGTTTTTATAGTTTGTAAATGCTTTGTTTTTTATTATATTTTTAATTTAGTTGATTTTTTTATAAATATTGGTATATTAAATTGTTTAAAAAAAATTTGTTTTAAAAATTTTAATTATTGTAGGGCTAATGCTAAAACGGCTAATACCAAAATATAAGATTTCAATTTAAATTTTTGAAACTTACAAAAATTTATTTATACTCTTATTATAAATACTAACTTTATATATTAATCTTAAATTTAACAAATTTTATATTTAATATAAAATACAAAATATTTTAGTATTAGCTAGTTTTAGTATTAGCTTTTATAATTATTATTAATTATATTAATAATAATTATATTGTATTATTGCATTATATATATAATACTAGAAGTTTATATTAAACAATAAAAATGCTGTCAAATCTGTTTAAATAAATAATATATAAATAAATATTTTATATAAATAAATATAAAATTTTAGAATCAAGTTGGTTATTAAGGCTTATTGTATAAATTGTTTAACTAAATAATAATAAAAAATTTTTAATTTTATTAGTAAAAATTTTATAAAAATTATGCTATCTAAATATTTTAAACTTTATTTGTATATTATTATACAAAATTTTATAATTTGATTAGTTAAATTATAAAATATAATAATTTTATTAATATTTTGATATAATTTAATTTTTTGAAATGAATATCTTGTTTATTTTTTTTTTAACATATTGGTAGCCTTGCTGGTATCTTTATTAGATCAAAGCAAATATAATTATATCCTAAACTATCTAAGTTACAGATCTGACATTACTTGGCTTCCTTTAAGGGTACTCAAGTGCGGTCTGCCTCATTAATTAAAGCAATTGTCCATACCGGAGGGTTGTACCAAGCTAGTCAGCAAAACTATAATGAAATAGTTTTAAATTAAAAGAAATTTTATCTATACTAAATTGGCAATTTTTCTCTTCTAAACTATTCTCTTTTCTATAACAGTAATCTAATCTTATCTCTCTATTAATAACCAAATCTATATCTTTATCTCCTGAAGGATATTGCTGATATTTTTTGAATATTCTTGTATCTTCACTTTTGTTTTCGTTTCTTTCAATTTATTTGGTCCTTTCTGATTAGAGACTTGGCTCTTAGAAGTCTTCTCAGGTTCTTCTCTTTGTTTTTTCTTTTCTGTTCTGAAGCTTCATTATTAGATCTTTTCTTCTGTTCTGAGGTTTTTACAAGGGTTTTCTCTTTTTAGTATTCCCTAGAGCTCTTTCTAATTCTCTAGTAGTTGTTACAAATTCATTTTATTTGTGTCTTCTTTTCTTCTTTTTCTTTCTTTTGCTAACCTAAGCATCTTTTCCTTCTTTTTTTCTTTTTGGGTGCAGTTTCTTTTCAAAGAACTTCTCTTGTAATTCGATATAGGCTTCTTGATCTTCTAAAAATTTTAATAATATTCCTTCTGCTATATCTAAAAATATGTTTTTCTTTTTTTTTTTTTGATTCATAATTTTTTTATTTTTTTCGCTATAATAACTTGGATTCTGTCTTTTCTACTATGCTCTTAGCTGCGTAAGATTTAGTTTGTTGAATCTAATCTGCTAGTAGATTTTTTTTCTTTTTTTCCAATTTTTACTATTAATCTTGGTATCTTTCCCACTTGACAAGTACAAAGCTTCTATTACCCAGTCTATTATATCTCTCTGTATATTTTTGGTTTGTATATCTTCTATCTTTTTCTTTTTTAATATAGCTGTTCTTGATATTATTGGTCTTGATTCTTTTGTAATCTTATTCAGAGCTTTTCTTTCTATTTGGCCTTCTTTACTTTGACCCTTGATTTTTTGCTCTAATGTTTCTTTTCTTTTATTGATTTTTTGTTGACAATACTTTGAAACTTTTTTTGCTAGGATTGTAATTACTATTCTTCTATCTTGATTGTTTTTTTCTCTAAAAAATACTCTATTTTGAATACTCTGATAGTTATTGAGAAGTATTGTATTAATGACTTGAGTGCTGTTTTGTTTTGCTGCTTTGCCTTTTTTTCCTCTGTTTATCTAGTCTTTTACGCCAAACTAGGTCTATTTTTGTTTTTATACTGCTAGCAGCTTGTTTTTTTTTTTGCGCAAAATTATTTCTGCCATTTTGGCTCTTTTTTGGGCTTGCAATTTTATCTTTTCCTCTTTGACTCTTTCTTTTTCTTTGTGTTGGTTTTTTGTAACAGATTGGATCAATTGTTTAAATTGTTATA